TCTGTTCATATTTTGGAACTGGCTATTGAGCGCTGCCACTCGTTGAGCCAATTGACCTAAGTTATCAAACTCTTGTCTAGTAGTTTCTCTCTCCATGTTGACAGCATTCCTTGAACAGCCAAAATAGCTAGCTGATCATCAGCCAAGTTTAATGAGAAGCATAAATTTCTAGTTTCTCGGAACCTTTAAAGAAACTTGGTGCCTGATTCATTAGTTCTCTGCCTTATAGTTGTCAAATCGGTAATCTTCTTTTCTCATGTCTCGGTGTAAAAATATGTATGAAACTTCTTCTCTAGGTCAGCTAGTTGGCAATGGAGTTAACTGGCAGTGATGAAAACCAAGTGAAGGCTGATCCTGATAGGGACAAGGAGAAGAAACAAACTCGATGGGCCTCTTTAATGGATGCTTCACCCAACTATGTAAGATACCAACTGACATGTTCTATCATACTTGTGTTGTCTTGGCCAATGAACTTAGCAAACTCTGGGAGCCTGTAATTTATAGGAAGAGTGACCAAATCATACCATTATGGATATGTGCGTTTGTACGAGAAGGTCTACCCTTTTGGCTTTAGACTAAACTGATTTTTCATCATCTCAGTCACTCTTAGCAACAACTCATCAGCACACCTGCTGACTCATCTGTGGATTGAAATCCCGTGTACCTTGATACCCTAGATTCAGAATCATGTGAAGGGTGTTGTAATCTATGCCATAATAATATCCCTATGGAATCTCTATCTGCTGGGTCCATTGCTGGCTTGCTGCTTGAAGTCTCTGGTTATAGACGTTAGGATCTATATCTCTATGGATCCTTTGAATTGATGGTGCTATTTTCTGAGCCGACGACGGTATGTGGCCTGATGTGTCAAAATTAATCATCTGGTTTTCACCTTGCCCCATCGGCTGTTGCACATACTGCACTGATGATCCAGGATTATACTGTATCTGATTCATAGTAGCACCTTGAGCTTGCTCAGATGAACTCTGAACTACCTGGACATCATCATTACCAGCTGGTGTTGCTTCTTGATGGCTGGTACCGGCTTGATTAGTCCCTTGAGTTGACGGATGTGGAAAGTTGTAATAAGCCGGCCCAATCTGATCAACTGGAAACCCATGAAACACCTCTTTCATGGTGTTGTGGAATGTGTTCAGGAAAACTTCATTATGGTTTGATATGGCATCATGAACAGATTTGTTTACAGCTTCCATGAAGAAGCGCCTATCTTCAGCTTCATCTACATTTGTCTGCCCTTGAAACAGAATTCTTGGTAGTAGATATTTCTGAATAATTGTATTATCACGTGTCTTGGTGTAGGACAACAAACACTTGTCCTAAAATTCTTCTATAGCTTTACTGATGGCATCTTTATCTCCATCAGGTAGGTCTTCATAAGGTACCATAAGGATGTCATTATTGTTGTAAGCCGCCATGACGATTGTGGTGTCCCACCAGGCGTGCCCAAACGTGTTAGCATGAAAACATGTCAAAACATGACGGGCACACGAGCAAGCCGAAAGAGTCTGCTCGATGGAGCTGGAGATCTGCCTGGCTTCAACGTAGGGACGATCGGTCCTGCGTACTCCTCCCGAGACGTGCTAGTCAATTTGACCCTACAATTGGCAAGGAGAGAAAGTTTATGAGTAATTTAAGGTGGAACGTGCCGGTCTGTGCCCAAACAGTTCTAAGTGTGCCGCTTCGAGAGCAGCCATACGGGAAGAGCGACAAAATAGCCGATCCGCACAGAAATCGGCTGTTACAGACTGTAAAGTTCATGGGTAGCGATTAATTTTATGTTGAAAGGTACAGTATGTATATGTAAATAAGATCATCAGCTAGGTGTTTATTATTAGTATGAATCATTGAGCCGATGAATCTAATCAGGAAAAGATATAACACACGAACGAATTGACTATCTAATACAAACGGATCTACCAACGCTCTTAATCTAATCTGTTACCACCAACAGTGAGGTTCGACCGGATCGATGGAAGCTATGATGATAGTAACAAACTAAAACCGAAGAATCTGCAAACACATCCGTACTTCGACAAGCTTTTCAAAAGACATGCTATACGTGAAGGCTCGGATGAATCGGCTAAAATAGTCGATTCAGGTGAAAAGGACTACAACATGTGAATAATCGACTATTTCACATGAACAAACCAATGGACTCCTTAGACTCAACCTGCTATCTCTAATAGTGGGGTTCGATCGGATCAATGCAGCCGTGAAAAAGACAACGAATCAAACCCTTAAATCACATAGATCTTATTCACGATTAACAGAATCATGGATGCACACCATAGGCGTTAACGCACAGGCGATCGGCTATTTAGCCGATGCAGGTATAGCAAACAGTCAAGGTCACGCCTAACCAGGAACAGATCTACTAACTAGCATCCTCCAATCTACAGTGCCATCAGTGGGGATTGACCGAATCGTTACAGCTATAATGGTGAACTATAAACAAGATTCAACTAGCCAGTAAACCTCTTCAAGATTATTCATGCCTTAACCGCGTACTATGCACGATCAAGATCAAAGTAAAAACAACCAATGAAGCATAATCCGTCGCTCAGAGTAAGAAACACCATGTTGTAGTAAAGCGAACGACGGATTGAAATGATATAAGGCCAATCTAATTCGATCTTGACCGGGCAGATTGATGTTGTTGTAAACTAATAATGATGAAAGACATCAGCAAGATCGGTAACTTAATGAATCTACCCGAAGGATGTCACCCTTAGATAGAGCCGATAACTTGACTTTAATCTAGTTCGAGCAGTGGAGGTCGACCAGATCGATGCAGTCCTGCTCGCTGAAGAATTCGCTGAGATCTACTCTACTCCTACTCCTAAGGGATGGCCGGAGCCAAAAAAGTAACTTGTATTTGATTGATTGTATTGATTGTGTGTTTTACAATAGCCGAGGTCTAATATTTATACACAAAACCTACACATAAATCCTACTTAAACACAACTCATTACAATCTTTGGCACAAGAGAAAACATTCTTAATTTAAGATAACTTTGACCCTAATCTTTCCCCTTTTGTAGAGTCCAATATGTTTTTCCTGACGCCAACCGCAGCTCTTATTGTTATCTGCTGGCGCTATCTGAAGAGAGCCGATTCTAGCACTTTATTCGAATCAGCTGATACTGAACTTTATGCAATCGATTCCTTGGTGACACGACCTTGGGAGCTTTTGAGTTCCTGCAATTCTTCTTCCCAAATTTTGTTGTAAACAGCTGGCAAGTCAAAAAATCCCCCAAGCAATTCTACTTGAATCGCCTGGGGGCTCGGGGGCTACTGTCGGGAACAAATATTCGGATACCCGAAGAAGAGGAGCTAATAACCGTCAACGTTGATTCATCCGCGCGATCAAGAGCGCGACTACACCGCTTGCCGAGTCACTGCTCGTCCGTCCACCGAGACCATGGGCCCCGCCTCAAGCTGACTCCCGAGGACCGGCTCCGCCTCGCCCGACGTCTGGGGACTGGCCTCGCCTCGCCCGACGTCCGGGGACTGGCTCTGCCTCGCCTCGCCACTTGCTGACAAAACCAGAACATGGCATCATCAACGGACAGACGTCCAGCGCGGCCCTATCAGGATCAACGGATATGCACCCAGCATAGAGCTATCCCTGACACTATCTGCTGTGTCAGCGGGGCTCGCTCAGAGAAAAAGGAAGACCCGACCTCTCGGTAGGACCTCCTTTGTCTCTGGTTTTTCTTCTTTCTCCCATCTATAATCCCTGCTTCCCCTTATCTATAAAAGGGAAGGCATGACACACCACCAAAGAGATCAATTGAACACACCACACATGACATCACACATAGCTAAGCAGTGACCAAGCTTTCAGCACCCGTTCGACTTTTCCATCAGAGATTTGGGACATTTCCCTCTCTCGCCCGTTTGTAACCCCTACTACGAACTTTTCAGTGCAAATAACACGAGCAGCAACCACGAATTGGATGTAGGGACATTCTGTCTGAACCAGTATAAACCTTGTGTCTTTTTAGCACACCATTTGAGCTAGACGCGTAATAATACAAATTTACTCGTTGATGTTTACTCGAAACACCGACAATAAATGTATTTGTGATTGTAGATAACTACACTATACCTACCTTTGGCTATGACCTCGTTGATGAGGTTGTTGTAGAAGGCCACGCCTTCGTTGATTCCTCCACTCAGGGAACCGTCTACAGAAGGCACGTGATGACACAGCAACACAAAAATCTCTGTCAGTAAATCAGGACGGGCTTTATATGTGAAACTGATTGATTGTTGTTTTTTAAGGCGTCAACATATTTCAATTTTAAATGGCATCCCAACGGATATCTTAAAAAATGGTATGGCTAGATTTGTTTCTAAAAGTATGTTAAAACGTTTATAACTTCGATATATTCTGCATATGTTCGATTCGATGTTATTCGTCAATGGTTATATTCGTGTAGTCGCTGTGTGATAAATGACAGTATTTGTAATCGGAGGCCGGACTGTTTGCGACTTGGCGTTGAAAGTTGAGCAGTGCTCACTTGGCAGGATCCTGGTCCAGGCAATGGAGAACCGGAAGGCGTCCAAGTTCATGTCCTTGAGGAGTTGCACATCCTCCTGCAAACAATAATTTGGTTAGTTTCGCCGGTTGACCCATCATCATTCCGTCAGGTTCAGCTGATTCAGAATGCTCCGAGCGAATGGTAGTTCAGTCACCTTGTATCGATGGTACATGTCATCTGCTACGTCGCCGGTATCGTTGTTCAAGATCTTACCTGCAATACATCACGCACGAGTTTCTCTCTGTCAGAGACACTGGCCGGTTCAGTGTTACTAGTACGTAGTTCGTTGTAGGCACCCTCATACTGCAAGTGCAAGGCACGAACTTGTTCAGATAACAGTCCATAGCTGAACTGTAGGCCGATTTGCGCAAAGACAGCTAGGAATGAAGATGGAGCGAAAATGTGCAGCAGATCATCAGCGAGCATCATCACCTGATACGCCGCGGAGCCGGTGCTGAAGACGAAGTCCTTGGGGAAGCTGTGCCGGATGAACTTGGCGTGAGCGCCGATGCAAGCGGTAGCCGCGAGGAACAGAGCTGGAAGCAGCAGCTTCGCCATTCCGGTCTCGACACCCATGTCTCGAGCTGGTAACCGGAATGGCTCCAGTCTTGAACTGGAGCTGGATTGGTGCTGCGACTCCCGTCCCTTCTGCCCCTTTATATTTATAGACGGGACAACTGTCCGGGCAACTGTAATCCTGTTACGGGGACGACACCTACATTCATCTTTCTATTTCTTATTTACAAAGAAAGGATTAATTCACGGTCGTTACATCGACTTGATATAATAACCATAAATCTATTTTTGGCCTCTGCATAAAAGTATAGTATAAAAAGTAGGAGTTTGTCGCTCTAAAGACTATCGATCATAAAACTAGATCACCAAATCGTCACCTACGTACTCGAGAAAACACTGTGACCGCCTAGGCCAATTGTTACAATGCCACTGCAACCAAAGACTGCGAACTAAGCTTATGGAGGACAATTCACAAGCGGAGCCAATGGTAATCAAATATAGCACGTGCAAATAAGAACAAGCATGCTTCTTTTCAAATACCAAATCATTTCTACATATTCGCTTCTCTTATAATCCGTCTTTTTCAGCTTGTTTTTCAGCCGGAACAGTGTTTTTCTCTCACAACAAATCAGCCGGAACAGTGTTTCGGCTTGTTTTTTCAGCGAAGCGAACGGGGCCATGACCAAAACGACCAACGGATAGCTGGCGCTCCCAATAGAACTATTTTTTTTTAAAAAAACATCTAAACCAACTTCAGAACATATGAAAAATACTATAAGGTTGATGAAGGCTTAAAGTGATATGTATGTACTCCCTCAGTGAAACAAGGCAATTTTCGCTTATTGAGAAGGCTTAAAAACATCTTTGACTAAGATCATATAAAAAAGTACTAACATTCATCGTACAAAATAAGTACCGTTAGATTCGTTATAGAATATATTTTTATAATAAATTTATTTGAAGACATAAATGCTAATACTATTTAGTATAAATTTAGTCAAACTAAGTAATTTTTTTTTATTACGTTGATAGTCAAACTGAGTAAGTTTGGCCGACACGTATCCCATAATTGTATTTTTTTTTTGAACGAAGGGAGTAGCCGCAAACTAAAGAGGACAAAATAGCATTCAAAGAAGAGATACTTAATTGTCTCCCTTTTTTTCAAAAGCAACGTACATTGCTGCCTTACCAATTGCATTTAGCTTGGTAATTGTGTTTAGCTAAATATCTTTTAATTAATTAGTAGAATCACCTCTCTGTCAAGATGCACATTCATCTTTCTTTGAGAGGAAATTAAACACGAGAAGTCGACATTTGTGCAGGTCGGCATGCAGCGCTACTGGCAGGGGACAGGCCAGGCCCGGATTTCATCGCTGCCGATCCGGCGATCTCGATGACCTGTGTGTGTGCAGCGATTGCCGCCCATACGATGCTCGATGCGACGGTTGAGGTGGACGCAGCGGCTCTTTTTAAGCACCATGAGGTATACGTTGATGCTCCAGATAATTTGTTTATTTTATTCCCCGCGAGCTTCGATTTCGTAGTTTCAGCTCCAACCAGTAACAACTAACAACCATTCGCGCTTTCTGTGGGTATTTCAAGTTACCGACTAATAAATTTTTAGCATTGCACGTCTGGCTCGTACAGTGTGTTTAAAAAACACGAGGTTTATACTGGTTCGGATAGAAAGTCTCTACGTTTAGTTCGTCGTTGCTGCTCGTGCTACTAGCACTGAAAGTTTATAGTATGGGTTACAAACGAGCGAGAGAGGGATAGATCATAAGTCTCTGATGTCCGTGTGCTTCTAAGACGTGTTAGGGCATGTGTTTTGATGTCTACAACCGTGTAGAGTGGTGAACCGCCGTCCCCTCTCATGAGGTGTCCTGCTTCCCCTTTTATAGACGAAGAGTAAGAGCAGGTTACACAGAAATAAAGAGGGAGAAGAGTCAAGAAGAGGAAGGCTTCCAGGACCACCAGACCTTTATTCTCCTTTATGCGGGCCCCGCCGACACTGCAGATGGTGACAGGGACGGCTCCACGCCGAGACCTGTTCGCCGCTGATGCCACGCCCCGGCGTTGTCAGCGGGTTGTGACGTCCCATTCCATCCCGGTGGGCGACGCGGCGAACCAGCGTGCTGGTCAGCGGTCGTACAGGGAGTAGGCAGCATAGTGACCACGCGTCCATTAATGTTGGTGATGTGAGTTCCCTGGAGTGACATGTCGCGGGCACGGGTCATGTTGAGATGTGCCCGCTCCCTGCACGATGCCAGAAGTTTGACTTTAGGTTGTACTTTCTGGCCCGTAGTGGTTGGCAACGGTACGGGCTTCCGTCAGGAGCCGCGCCTGAGGGGTCGGGCGAGACGGAGCCCCCGACCCAAAGGTCAGGCGAGGCGGAGCCCACCCATAGAGGTCAGGCGAGGTGGAGCCCGCGCACCTGGGGGACGGTTGGAGCTGTAGTCACGCTCTTGACTGCTCGGATGAATCAATGTTGATGACCATTAGCTCCTCCTCTTCGGGTACCCTAGTATTGGTCCCCGACAGTAGTCCCCGAGCCTACGGAGTAGAATACTCCTTCGAGAGGCTTTTCCGAACAGGAGGACTCTGAGGGCCTTGGCATTCTTTTGTCGCCCACGGCGTGTTCTGGGAACGGCAATTCCGTTTCGTCGTGATCGGACCCCTTGGGGCTATAGCCGTGAGATTTGGTGCGTCGGAAAAGGTCTTTCGTGATTCTGACCCCTACGAGGGTCTGTCGTTCTGCGACCACGCGTTCGGTCTCCTTGCGAGTCCAACTTTCCTCGAGCTCCCGCCCGTAGCAAGGGTCCGGTCGAGGGTCGGCTCGTCTTTGTGATCGTCTTCTGTCAAGCGTTTTTTCAGATAAAAATGGAGGGGCTGAGCCGTGCCATGATTTCCCTCTATTGACGAATCATGGTGCTCAGGGAGTATTAACGGGCTAGTCCGAGTGGGGCCCCGACATCCTGTTCGTGGGGGTCCGGCTTGGGTTAGTTGGTGACCGACTCCAGATTCTCAGTGGTCAATCCATATAGTTCTCGGGTCCGTTCTACCGGTCCTGAGGGCTCTCTGCCTTTCTTCGAAGAAAAACCATGGATCGTATCCGGCCGAGACTCAAACGTGGGCCGGGATGCCAGCGGTGCTCGTGCACCTGGGTACTGGCCGCTAGAGGGCCCATCCCTTTCCACCTCTCACTCTAAAGGTGCCCGGAGCAATTGTCGAACCCGTCAGTGGGCCTAGACGGGTCGTAGAAGCGTCAGCTCCGTATCCCTCTTACCTATGACGGGTCATGGCCCATTCGGGGAGATGAAATGTCCAGCGCATTTTCCGAGGGGACGGCCATAGGTTGCGTGTGCACGCCCCACGAAGAGACGTGGTGACAGGTCGTGGCAGGAGCAAGATCTAGGCGGGCGGTTGGTTTTCTCGCACCTGTCGCCCCTATAAAACCAAAGGGTTAGCCCTCCGTGTTTCATACGTACGCCTACATCCTTACCTCCGTAGCCACGCTACCACCGCCAATGCTTAGGTTTTCTGCCTCTGCATCTCCGCCGCCGTTGAGCTCGAAACCATCCGCTCCCATCTCCAATGGATCCGTTATGCCGTTCCGACATCACCTTCCAGTGCATGGAGGGCCTTGTCCATCGCGGTCTTCTCCGCGACGCGGACCTCGGCCGAGGAGTGGTTGCTGCCCGGCAATGAGGATTCGCTGTCGTCGCCCGACCGCTACGTGGTGTCATTCGCCCACTTCCACGAGCATGGGCTAGCGACCCCCACCCACAAATTCCTCCGGGGGCTGCTGCACTTCTACAAGATTGAGCTGTAGCATCTCAATCCCAATGGGATCCAACACATGGTGGCATTCGTCACGCTGTGCGAAGGATTCCGGGGGATTAGCCCCCACTTCGACTTGTGGAGGTATTTCTTCGCCATCAACCTCCAGAAGAAGAGGGAGAAGGGCGGCAGACAGGAGTTGCACATGTTGATGGGGTACGCCGGCATCCAACTTTGGAACAATCGTGTCGGCGAGTGTCCGTCCATGTGGCTCTCGATGTCTAACAACGGGTGACACTCATAGTGGTTCTACCTCAAGAATGACGCCGTTGCCCCTATGTTAGAGTTCACCGGGCGCCTGATCGAAGCAGCCCTGGAGCAGTGGAGGAAGTGGGGCATCCCGAAGAAGGATAGAAATAAGATTCGAGACCACATCGCCGCCATCCACATCCTAAAGGAGAACGGCTTGAAAGGGTCGGGCATCATCGGGCTTACCACGCGAGGAGGGTGGCGCCGTTGATGACACGCGCGCTCCCGCTATACGCGATGGCGCCCGAGGCGTCGTTCGACAGAACGACGCTCACTGAGGGAATGCTCCCTAACTCCGAGATCACACAACGCATCAAGGAGGCGATGGAGCCTTTGCGTGATGATGCGGGTGCTGCCCTCGACTTTGTCTACCCGGTGTCGGGGCATCCTCCGATGCGGCCGGAGCCAGGCTATGTTGTCTTCGTAAGTTTCTCTTTCTCTTGCCTTCTCTTCAATTGATTTTCTGACCCCATGAGGCTAACTTTGAGAGGGGTGGGACCGGCCGAGGGACCTCATCCTCATGGATCACCCAGCGCCGCTGCCGAGTGATTCGGCCATGAGGGCGGCAAATCGTGCTGAGGGCGAGCGGCTGAGGAAGGCGAAGGAGGACAAGAAGAGGAAGAAGCAGCGGAAGCTATGGGCGCGAGAACGAGGGGAGGACACTGACAACGATGATGATGGTGACGATGATGAGGTGATGGATGAAGAAGAAACGGTAGCCGATGATATCGAGTGAGACAACCTGGAGAACAAAGATGCGCTGATAGGCATCAGTCCATCCTTGTAGGCGTCGGGACCCTTCCCATTCCATGGAGGGGAGGGTACGTCTGGGGAGCTAGCGGAGGCGGGCCGTTCCGACACCACCCCAGGAACCGACAGTGGCGGGATGTACCGTCGGCCTACCCCAGGAGACAATAGAGGCGGGCGACTCTGTCGTCGCGCCCGAGGTGCCAGCGGAGGTGGGCGGCTCC